GGAGGAGCTCGACATTATGGGCATAAAAGCTGTGGGGATGGAGTGTGTGGAGCCCTGGCTGGGAGGGCACATGGATAAACATCCTCCCAGTTGCTAGAAACAGATATCCATCATACCCACACACTGCCTCTGGAGAGAGAGGATCAGCCTGGTTCCCAGGTTTTGGCAGGAGAGTTCCTCTTCAGCCACGCTGTTTTTTCTTTATCATTGAGTCATGGAATGGTTTGAGTTGGAAGGGGCCTTAAAGACCATCTTGTTCCAACCCCTGCCATGGGTAGGAATGTTTTTCACTAGATCAGGTTGCTTCAACCTGGCCTTGGACACTTCCAGGGATGGGAAGTGTTACATGTTGATGAATGACAGGCACCTTCCTGCACAGTCAGTATATACTGGGAGTTGTTTGAGGTTTGTTCTGGGTTGGGTTTTTTCTTTTTTCTTCCTTTTCATAAGTTCTCATAAGAAAGTATGTGGAGTCAGGTGGTCCAGCCCTGCTGATTCAGAGCACGGGGCACTTGTTCAGTGCCTTATTCCAAGTGGGCAAACAGGGAAGGGAACACGAAAGGGGAAGGCGGCAGGAAAGCCGGAGCATCTCACCAGTGATAAGGCAGCTCAAAAATAGGTTGTGACAGCTGAGCTAATGATGTCACCCATGCTGATACCAGTGGGCTGCTTCTCATGATGATTTCTGTCCCAGACACGGTGACATTCTCCAACCAATGCATGTCTCCAGCAGTCGATGTGTAGAACCATCCATAGGGAACGTGGTGCACGAGAGAACACTCGCCCAGGTTTGGGGTTTGTTTTGTTTCACAGGGGCACAATACTTGTGTGTGGATGATAAAGGTGGGTAGGTCAAGCTCAGCCTTGCTGGACTACTTTATCAAACTGGGGGTCAGAGGGCTCTTGTTGTGACATTTAGAGATAAGCATTTGGGAGGTAAATGAGATGGAGCAGCCTGCAAAGAGATCAGAAGGTGCTTGTGTAGCTTCAGACCTCAAGTAAATTACAGATACAGTGTTGGTAGCCTGAGCATTGATGTGTCCTTTGTACTGTACACAGTGTATTAAGATACAGATAAATAATGCAGTTTAGTTGTCAGAAAGATGCATTTGTTGCCCAGGATTTTAACTTAGATTTATTCTTGGTTTATTTTCCACGGAGTTATTTTTAATGAGAATGGAAAGGCAGCTAAAAATTATGTGGATTCAGATTTCATTGTGTAGCTACTTGATCAAAATATAAACTCTTTGTTTATACCCTTGTAAAAAGAAAACGCTGTACTGGTTCTCAGCGATCAGATTTCATTCAGATAATGATACAACATCCTAATTCATAGGCTCTGCTTCAGATACCGAGTTTGTCTGTGATACAGCCTTTTTCAGAAAACTGCTCTACCCCAGATAAATCATCCAGAGAGAGAGAGGATGCACATATTTAGATGGCACGGAAAAATAGGCTAATAATGGGATTGTATAGGAATGCTCAAATATTTCAGTGTGTTTATGTTGATAAATTATAATTTGTTTTAACATTCAGTTGCATGTACCCTTTTCAGCTGTTCTGCTTGGCTGCAGTGGTTTGGTAGCTGTGTGAGGGCTGGAGCTGGATGCTTTTCCTGTTTTGATCACAGCCCAGGCAGTAAAGGCCACCACACTTTAAACAGATAATAAATCATGCTGTGTCCTTGCTAACCAACACTGCAGATTCCCCCGGGTCTGAACTGAACGTCCTTCTTTCTGTTCAATTTAGTGTAAAGAAGAGAAAATTCTATTTGAAGTTAGGGTAATATTTCCAGACAAAGTCTGATGAGGAATTTTTCCAAACTGCCAAAAATAAATCTCCCCGGCAGAGTTGGAGCTGGTGACTCGAGGCATATGTATTCCTGACTTCTGTCTGTTTATTTTTATTTCCCTTTTATTGTGAGCTGTCTAAAGTTTTGATGTCGTTTCGTCAAGGAAGGAGTTATACGAGTAGCCTATAAACTCTTTCCAAGGGGGAGGCTGGAAGAGAGGGGCGAAGAGAAAAACTGGTGTGAAAAAGGGGTTCATGCATTTTGTGATGGCTCGTGCCATTTATCCACTCACCTGCCTGAAGTATTTGATTGTTCCTTGCAGTTCCTTTTCTAAACCTGTGTGCTCTGGGAAGGTAATGGCAGGGGGATGCTCTGTCTCAGTTGTTCAGCTGCAAGAGATTTCAAGTTATTGTGAAGATTTCAAGTTGCCCAGAGCATTTTACTCTGTTCAAGTGTGTGCTCTGATGACCAGCGTGTCCTGGGACTGCCCAGCACTGATTGCAGTGGGATAACCAGTGGGACTGAAGCACTTTGAGCTGCCTCCTCCTCTAGCAGGAGATGTTTTACCACCACCAAAAGCCTCTGTCTGAATCAAGCACGACAGGTTTTCCCATCATGGCACGAATCTTGCTTGGTAATGTTCTGATGGCTGGGATGAGCGTTTGGCATCCTGAGTTCACTAAATGAAGGCTGTGTGGGAATCAGAGTTTGTAGCTGAAAGCTTTTCTCCCTGTTTGACAGCTTGACCAGCTGTTTTCGTGCCTTTGGGATGCTCCTTGTATTCCTTTCCTCCCCCCTTCTCTCCCTCTTTTCTGTTATAAACAGCCAACAACATCTCTCATTATTCAAGATGAATAAGAGGTGAAGTCCTGACATAGTTTATATAATGAAATAAAAAGAGCTGCAAATCATGTCTTTCAGAAGTTTGGATGTGTCAGAGGATGCAGTTAAATAGCAGGATCTTGCCATGCAGACAGAGAGGGGCAAGGATTGCATTCTGCTGCCTCTGGATCTGGAATTAGATCTCCTGTATTTCTGCTTTCACTTCTGACATCACTTTCATGGCTGGTGCCAAACTAGTGAGTAAATTCAGAGGCAATACCAGGGACAAAAGCCCTAAAACCAGTGATTTCTGACCAGCTGATATTTGTATTTCAAGAGAAGCTTTGCTTGGATGGTATAATTTTTCCTGATTTTATAAAGGGTACCAGTATTTGGACTATAAATCTAATTCCCTGCATGTAATTTTGCTGTGCATTAAAACCTCCCATGCCAGATTTCGGCCTTGAATGTGGACGTTTATTTTGCCATCCTGGTTATTGTTACTTTCTTCAATGTCAGCATCGTCAGGTTACAAAGAAAACAGGTTATAAAACGTGCACAGCCCTCAGGTCTCCCTGAGGAGGCAGGGAGTGGGGAAAAGCTGCTCAGCCTGCCAGTTTGCTTTGGTAGGGGTGTAATTTGTAGGTGGCTGTGATATGCAAGGACAGTACCTAACCTTTTCCTTTCCCAAAACAGGCAGCAGGAGATATCAGGAAACGTTCAGGTGACTTGGCTTGGTGTAAGAACAGAAGCACAGTTCAGTTCAGTGTGAAGAAGGAGCTTAGAAAGCTGCAACATTATCCTTGATGGGGATTAAGCTATATTTTAGTGCAATAACCATGTCAGAAGTGAAATTTGGCTGATCATTTGTCTTTGATAGCTTCATTTGCCTTTGGCCCCCTAAGCCATTTCTCAGGGAGTGGGAGAACTCCTGATACTCCAACTCTCTGCATGACTTGTCATTTAAATGACAAAAATCAGTTCTCTCAAAAGCCTACTTTTCCTTCAGGAAAATCAGATTAAATCCAGGGCTGAGAGTGTTTTGGTGAGTGGTTTAATGTCCAGTATGTTGCCTGACTGTAGATGTAAAAGTAAATGCGTCGGAAAAGAGACTTTCCCAACTTTTTTAAGGTCACCTTCTTTTCCAAAAAGCTCAGGGCTTCAACAGACCCTTTTTATAGAGAGAAAATACTTCAAAGACCTCTTTCTGACCTCTTGCAGGAGGTTCAGGTAGCTCAGGGACTGTGGCCTGTGTGGAGGTAGGAAGATTCCGTGGTTACAGGAGCACTTGGTGGCTGTCCCAGTTGTGAGTCATGTTCCCATGACTCTGGAGTGATGGGAATCTGACAGAATCTCACCTGGCCCTAAAAATGGGCCTTTAGCACCCACACTGGGTCTGGTCAGCTGAGCCTTGGAAGTCTCCAAGGATGGGAAATTCACCTTCTTCCCAAAGCAGTGCTGCCCTTCTAAATGCAGCACCATTTTACTGGGTTTTACCTCTGCCAGGTTTATTCCTAGGTGTAAGTTCACCACGAGGTCACTGCTCGTGTCTTGGCAGTGGCAAAGCCAGGAATCCAGCATCTTGGCTGTGCATGATCAACATTGTCCTCTGTAAAATTATAGGATTTTATTCTTCAGGTGTGCATGTAATGAGAATGATGAGAATTCAAGTGAATTAGACCCAAACCAGCATAAAAGTGGAGCCACAGAGAATTCAATGTATAATAGACATACCTTTTTTCGTCCTAAGTTATCTTGGTTGCTAAGTAAAAATATGCTATAAACCATTAGATTGGTTCTGTGGGCAGTATTTTAATGACTTTCATAGCACTAGGTGTGTTGTGATTTGGAAGAAGAGATTTTGAGTTACAACAAACAATACTGTCATCTTAAATGTGCTCCAGTTCTCTGATGGCTAAAATCAGAGCACTCCTGAGAAAATAACAAATAGAAATAGAGATTTTACAAAATAGCAGCACTCTTAGTTGAAATGATGGTCCAGAGTCATCTTCCTTTAAGCCTGGCTCCCATCTGTGGGAATTTCCTTAGCATAAGTTCAGAGGTGTAGCTGCTGTGGATGCTGATAGAGGCATTTACTTCTAATCTCATTAATGTTTCAGCTGAATTAGGGGACTGAAGGCATTCAGTGCTTACCCAACATCAGCACAGTGTTGGTAATTAATACCATTTGCAGCAGATACAGGTGTATGTCAGACTGGGAATTCAGACCTGTTCAAAGGGTACACTCCTGTTTTAATCAGAGCCCCCATAGAATGCAATCAGAATTTAAGCAGCACTTCAGAACCGAAAATAACATCAGGAAAAACCTGACAACGACCCATCCTTTCAGATTTTTCTGATGGAATGTCTCACTTCTCTCTTCCAGGACCTGCGCAAACAGGTAGCTCCGTTACTGAAGAGTTTCCAGGGAGAGGTAAGAGCTTATTTATGCTTCTCATGCTGCTTTTTGTGCTGCTTCACACGAGCCTGGTGTGCTGGTGGGCTGTGAGCGTGGCCAGGTGGGCACAGAGCCCCTGGGCAGGGCAGGGGCTCAGCCCTTTGCATTTTGCTGTGTGCAGGATGTGTGTGTGCACATGAAGGGTAAGAAAGATGGAGAGGGACTTTTTGCAAGAGCATGGAGTGACAGGACGAGGGAGAACGGCTACAAACTGACAGAGAGTAGGTTTAAATGAGGAAGAAGTAGGTTTAAATTAGGAAGAAATTCTTCCCTGTGAGATTGGTGAGGCCCTGGCACAGGTTGTCCAGACAAGTTGTGGCTGCCCCATCCCTGGAAGTGTTTAAAGCCAGGTTAGATGGAGCTCTGAGCAACCTGGTCTGGTGGAAGGTGTCCCTGCCCATGGCAGGGGGGTGGAAAGAGACCTTTAAGGTCACTCCCCATCCTTTCTGTGATACACTGGGTTTGTGCTGCTGGACAACCTAAACTGGCCACACCACTTTGCTCTCAGCAGCCCTCTCCCCATGGCATGACCCAGGTGGCACATCCAGCTCGCTGTGCCTCACCAACCTCAGGGTTTGAGCTCCTCATGAGTGCAGTGTAATGTACTTACACAACACATGAGGATGCTACAAACAGTTCTCACTGCAAACCTTCTCAGCTGTAAAACATTGTATTTAAGAGGGCTGATGGAAAACCTTAAGTTGGCAGGTGTTTGTTGGAAAACCGACAGAAAGCATTAACAGCTCTGGTGCTGGCTCCGACTCTGATTTCTCTTCACACCACTGAGAGCACACGAGTAGAGTGCTCACGAGTTTCAAAGCCAACTGTTGTTATTTTGAAGTATTTCTATAGGCAGGGGCAGCTGGACCAGTTAGAGAATTTTCCATTTTTGCTGTGGCCAGCAGTGGGGTGCTCACTCACGTGAGGCCAGATGGGAGCCGTGGTACCACCACCAGAAAAACATCCGGGATGGAGGTTGCAAATTCCATTTGTCCTTATAAAGATCCATGCCTGTGTGAAGTGGTGGATATAGGTTTTAGCTTATACTCTTACACATTATAGAGCTGTGCCCCTAAAGTTATCCAGGAAATATGCCCCTAAAGCATGTTTCAGCACAGGGAATTAGGTGCCCAACTCCCCTTACTGAGGCTTGCATTTGGACATCCTGCTGAAGCTGTATCCCAGCTAGGCAGTAACTCCTCATTTAAAAGCAGTGTGGTAGTTTTTATTTTACAACCCAGTTTCCCATGTATTGCTAGAAATAAATAAATAAACATGACAGCTTTGTCCTTGATGTATCTAATAGACATTTGTGAGAACAAAGAATGACTTGTGTGAGTCCGTTTGCCAATGGAAATTTACACTTTAAAATTGCTCTGAGTGGATTGCAGTGCTTTTAGAACCTTTTTCACTTCAGTTTCAAGCTTGCAATGCACTGACTGAAAAGTGCATGTGTGCTTTCAGCACTGTTTTTCATGAAGGGGATGTCTGAGGATCAAATAAGAAGCATAAATCCAAATTTGGCTACAGTGAAGAAGATTTCCCCCTTAGATCTCGCCAGAGACAGCTCCCTGTTCCTGTGTATGGTTCATACACACTCCTCCTCTGTAGTTTTGCTTCACTGATACAAAAATTAAGTTTATTTTGGTACAAATTCAACCTCACAGGAGTAAAATTTGTTGGTAGAAATCCCCTGTTATGTAAACAAAGCACAAATATGTTACAAGATTGTGCTGCTGAATCTCTGAGCTGGTGATTGCAGTCTCCCTAATCTATACAGGGTTTTAGAAACCTAAAAAACCTGAACTAATTATGATTGACTACATAAATGCACAACATTAAGCTGTGAATTGTGGTATTTGATTATAGATGTAATTACTGTATCTTGTTTTGGAGACAAATCAAAATACGAAGGATATTGGTCTGTTCTGCTGAGTTATATTTGATTGTTCAGGATATAGATCTGGTTTCTGTTTGTTGTTAAGGCTGACTTTCGAAAAGATCAGGAGATGAATGCTCCAGGTATCTCAGGGACAAGCTGTGTTAAGCAAATAGGCTTTTTCCCTTTTCAGATCCACTGGAGATGCCTTGATTACCATTTACCGAGATGGCTCAGCTGGGGATGGGACACTCACCCCCCCAGCCCCGTGGGATTGCTTTGGAATTGTGTGTTACCTGTTAATTGATATTTAATGGCCTGGGAGAGCTGGCAGAGGGACCTTTTGGCCACAGAGTACCTGTGGGATGTGAGCAGGGAGGAGGAAGGAGGAGGAGGGCAAGAGGTGCCCTGCTTTTACTACACAAAAATCAGTTTTCAGCCCCAGATTTGTCCCTGGAATTGTTTAAGGCCAGGTTGGATGGGGTTCTGAGTAACCTGGTCTAGTGAAAGGTGTCCCTGTCCATGTCAGGGCACAGTTTTCTTTTTTTTTTCCCTTTTTTGCTGGCTTAGTTTCCCACCAGGTTGGTTCAGAGCAGCGGCTCAGTGCAAGGGGGAGGCCAGGAGAGCAAAGGCAAGGGCAGGAGCAGAGCAAATGTGTCAGCTCAGGTTGACTTAAACTGTCCTTGAACTGAACCTTGGTGAGCCTGACGTGACTTGGAGAGAGGTGAAGTTAAGCTCAGGTATTTATGTATCCTCCCAAGTGTGATTTATGGGAGCTGCTGGTAAACCTGGGGCCAGCTGACTTTATTTAAACAAATCCACAGGTCACTTTAGCCAATTTTTCTTTCCTTTGAGCATGGAATATTGATGCTTCCCCCCATATTTTCCCTTTTGTATAATATGAATTTCTAAATAAACCCCCAGTACAGAACATTCTGTATTCCTTAGTTATTTATCTCATTCATTCAGATAAAAACTGTTTCAGTTATCAAATAGCCAGTTTCCATTAGTAACTGGAAATAACTTTTTTTGTATAGATCTCAGTGTGCTAAGTAACTGGATTTTTTTTTATGATGAGTTAAAGTAAAAGCATTATGAAATGAAATTTAGCGTACTACAAGTATTAAAATGCATTCCTAGTTCAGCAGGAGACTCTATTAATTCATCACTGGAGAATAGTTTCATTATGGTACTTTTTCCTTATTTAGGATTTTAATGGAAATTTGAATGCAGTTTTCTAATTGAGCAGAATGTTGTGTCTGATTCAAAGCTGATGGTATTGTTCTTTTGATTTTTGTGAGTAACTCTTCTGGCTTTCCTGAAAGATTTAAGGTCTGGATAGTGCAAAAAGGCTATTGTGAGAAGACAATTAAAGTCACTAATTTAAGAGTTGTAAAATTCCTGTCACTTCTGTCTTAAATCTATCTTTTTTTTTTTTTTCCTTTTTCTTACCATTAACCTGAGGATGCAACTTATTAATGGTTTGCTCACCCTATGCTGGGCTAAATACAGGACAGAATCAGAAAGAGGTTAAAGAGCCTTATCATCCAGTCATGAAATGATTATATATAATTTGCAAGGCCCTCCTGCAAGCAGCCATGTGACCAAGCTGTGTTTTGGGTAGGTCACTGTGCTTTGCCATGGGCACATCAGTGCCTGGATGTTTGTCCATGAAATCTGAAAGGGAGAAAGCAAAAGGGAGTTGATGGTCTTGGGGCTGTGTTAATTCACAGAGCTGAAGTTGTGGTATGGAAATCTAATGTTGGAATCCGTATTTGTGAAGTCATCAGACAGATATTTTAAGGCTGGGAAAGGATTTCCTGAGGTCATTACCATTCTTTTCATGTGGCATAAGAGCACTGTCCAACAGTAATGCAGTAATCCCTCACTTGGGGAACCCTTTAAGGCACAGACTCCGAAACAACAGACTGGACTTGATTTCTGTGAAAGCCATTTCTCATGTTCTTCTCACAGAGCAAGTGCTTTTAAGGGTATTGCCATTCTGAGGAGACCACTCTGGCTCCCCACTTAGCTGAATTGCTCTTTAAACTATTAATTTGGTCAGTGGAGTAATTTAATAATTTTCCATATGCAGACAACAGAAGCTGAAAATCAGTTTGATGTGCTGGAACTCCTAATCGTGCCTTTGAAGGGGTACTCTAATAATGTGTGTGCCTAAACCACTACAGACCTACATTCCTTCTGCATTTTGAAGGAGTATTCCTGAGCTGATACCTCATATATTTTATTTTTTTTTTATTTTACCCCCTTTAATTTCCTCACGTTAAATTTCCAAACCTAATTAATACAATTTCTTTCCTGTAGGTTCACTCCATGATGGCTCAATTAGAGTAGCAGTAGAACTGTGGTTCAATATTCAGGCCAGCTTCATAATTGAAAACACATTTTCTTCTCAAAAGCTGCAGCTGGTTTGGTTCTGCTCATGCAGAAAAGGATATAACCTTGCATAACATAGGAAATGAACGGTTGAGAGAGAAGCCAAATTCAATTTCAGTCAGATATTTTGAGGATAAGTCCATGATCTATGGAAGCAAGGGAATGAAAAGTGTGTGTATGTGGAAAGCAGCGTGTTCAGCACTCTATTAATCACGGCCAGCCTGGGTGCTGTTGTGTGCCTTGCGTTAGCACTGATGCTCGTACAGAGGCTGGAGAGCAGCCAAGCACTCCAGAAGTTAACCTCTTAAAGACCCTGAGCTGCTTTCTGTTGAATAAATGTAATTTTGTGGTCAGAAATAAATGCTTGTGATGTAGCAGGAGCTTTGAAAACAACAGCGTGGCAAAGCTATTACAAATTGCTCTGTGCTGGGGAAGTCAACAGCATACATCAAAATCCAGCGCTGTGTTTGGGCCCAGAGCTTTCCCTGCTTTTCAGTGGAAGTCCCATTAAAACACTGCATTTACCAAAATGGAGTAAAGTGAATATTTTTGGCAGTTAATTTTCTGTTAATGTCCACTCCACATCTCACTTCTCTTCCCCAAAGCTGTTGGAGAGGGGAGAGGTCACGGCCTCCTCTTGGGGTAAAGGCAGCTCCACAGCCATTCATTGCTTTGTTTACAGAAGTGTGTAAATGATTAT